TCCTCAGAAAGATAAAAACCACTCACAATCACCAGACATCAAATGATCAAAAGGAGTTCTACTAAGATATTTTGTGGTTTACTTCACATAATTTATGTTTCCTTTTTCATCGGTGTTTACTGAATTGAACTGATTTACAATTAATACGTTATTATTTCTTTGCCTTTTTTTTTTTTTTTTTTCGTTTCTCTTTGGAAATTCAAATTTTAAATTAGTAAAATTCACATCATCTAATGAAGTTGAAGTCTAGTTTATTGATGCAGCTTTAAAGTACAACAATCCACACAATACATTGGTTTTGCACGCCATCTACTTGAATTATAATTCCCACATACAAGAAGAAAAAATAGAGAAATGTAGGAAAAAGAAATACAGAACGAAAGGCTATATCTACCACTAACAGATAAACATTCATCTTCACTGGATCCTCCTCATCCTTCTCTCCCTTGATAGCCTGATTCGGTAAGTCCTCATCAACCACTCACGTGTTCTTGCAAAAACAATGTTTCCAATCACCACACCAACAAGGAATCCACATCCATAACCCAATGCCACTGTTTTCCAACCAAATTCAGCTAGCAATCCAGAGTCTTCATTTCCTTTAAAGGTTGAAGATGGTGGAGGCGAGGCCTTTGAGTTATCACATTTCCTTGACAGTGGCAATCCACACAGCCCTGAACCCATCAAACGAGCTAATATCAAATGTATCAAATTGCTACCCTCTCGGAATAGGTCCTGTCAAATGGTTGTGCGAGATATTGAAGACTTCAAGGAAATTGAGCTGTGTTAGTTGCATGGGAATGCTTCTTGTGAGCTTGTTTTGAGAAAGGTCTAGAGCTTCAACATTTTTGAGATTTCCCAAGGCTGGTGGGATTGGACCAACGAGGATGTTATTGGAAAGGTTAAGCAGTTGAAGTCCCTTTAAGCTCCCTGCTACATCAGGAATCTCTCCCTCAAATTTGTTGCAAGAAAGATCAATGGCTGAGAAAATCTCTAATACCTTTGCATAATCCATCTTCACGCCTTTGTTTGTTATTGTCATTAAGTAATGATATGGAGCAGATAAGATGATTTTATTCAAAATAAAATTGTCATATGCATGCCAGTATTTGGTGTTCTCCTCATCAACTTCTACCATGGCATTCCACCTCTTGAAGTATTCTGTTGGTAGAAGGCCAATAAATCCATTATGAGAAAGATCAGCGATCTGAAGATTAGGAAATAAGGAATCCGACTCTGGAACATTAGTTGCACCATAGAACTCATTGAAATGCAAAATGAGAATCTTCAATCTGAGAAGAGTTCCTAACCAATAAGGAAAGGTATCCCTGATATGATTGTTACCAAGATCAAGAAACTCCAACATTCTATAGTTTGCCAATGATCTTGGTAGCTTCCCCTTCAACTTATTTTGTCCTAGTTTAATCACCTTTAGATTGTTTCCAGTTACCCAAGTTGGAGGAATTGTACCTTTGAAGTTGTTTCTTTGCAAATTCAAAATCACCAAGGATTTACTTAAGTTTCCAATACATGGTGGGATCATTCCATTCAAGTTATTATAAGACAAATCTAGAACTTGGAGAGAAGTCAAGTTGCAAAATTCAGGTGGGATGTCTCCACTGAATTTATTTTCAAAAGCTAAAATGAAAATAATGGAAGATGGAGGGATTGATAGTGGAGCTTTAATCTGGTTAAAACTAAGGTCTAGCAAGACTAGAGTAGATGAAGGAAAGGAAATTGAAAATTTTTCAAAGTTTGTTAATGAGTTTTGGGAAAGGTCCAAAATTGGCAAACTTTTACTAAATTTCCATATCCATTTTGGTATCTTGCCACCAATGTCATTGGAAGAAAGGTCAAGGATTTCTAGTTGGTCTTGGTTATGCAAGAAGCTTGGAAACTCTTTTAGACTACAAGAACCAAGTCCTAGAGCTTTGAACTTTGTAGTAGTGGTGTTCGTACTCTTCCTAATTTTGATAAGTAATGAAAAATTGTTTCGGGAAAAGGACAAATCGTTTAAGTATTTGAGCTTAAGAAATGTGTCAATCTCAACCGTACCACTGAAGCTATTATCATCAAGTTTCAAGGTCTGGAGCTCGGTAAGATTACCTAGAGAAGGTGGTAATAAGCTCGAGAAGTTGCAATTACCAACTAACAAAAACACCAAAGAGCTGAGATTTCCAATTGAGGTTGGTAACTTACCAAAAAAACTTGTAAATTCAATTGCAAGGTCAAAAGCTGGTTGTGAAACTGAAACTCAGGCAAATTACCCATAAGACCTAGGTTCTCATTCACAACAAGGACTTGAAGTTTTGGTAGATGGAAAATAGCTGATGCACTAAAATCACCCTAACAAGTGTACTATTCGCTCCAAGTAATATAATGATGAATAGAGTGTCGAACCCACGAGGATTGTGTCTAATTAAGTACCAAAATAATTAATCTAAATTTATTTGAACAATCAAATAGGAAGAAACTTTAATTGAAAATAATAA